ATAAAATTTAATTTATAATTAAGTTTAGGATCACCAGTGATCTTTTATATATAGTTGATGGGCAAAAATTAATAATTTAATATCTATAATTGTTATTAATTTTGTTATGGGTTCCTAATTATCATTTTTTTCTATTTCACTATTAGCCCTCATTCCAAACATGGTCTGTGTTTACAAAAGAATTAACTTGTTGGCTCGTGTTGCATAGAGTATCGTGCATTTGAACAAAAATTACATCCAATGACCAATAGAGAATATTCATTGTAAAAAAGGATCAAACAATTTTAAATGTAAAAATCACAATTAAAGATCTCTGGAGCAACTATTTTGCAAAAAATAGAAAAGAACCAATGCAATTTGATTTTATGCTGCTGGACTTAAAGGTTAAAATGTAAATTAGTTTCAAAGTGAAATCACAATAACACCTACTTTTTTATAAAAAAGAAAAAGAAAAACCCCAAACTAAACCCTCACAGTTGTTGACCACTAGGCTATTGTTGGCAAGATTTCTGGTGGCGAGGTTGCCAGCTGCTGGTAATAAGAGCTCCGGCTCTGGAAACTAATTTAAATTGATAATTAGTGAAGGTGGCTAAGGGGTCAAGCCCCTTTTGCTCACTTTAAAAACTTGAGATCACTAAGCTGCCAAATTCTTTTAATCATATAAGGCAAAAAGAAAAAAGAAAAAAAAAGAAAATATGTAGTTACTAAAACCACTTTCAATTTATAACATTACGTGTCTTGTTAATTCCAACATGATATTTGTTATTTTACTAGTTTTATTTGTTAATCTAACATAATCTATTAAAAATGGAGGGTTTAAAAATTTATGTATTTAACAAATTTTCATTTGTGAATTGACAATTCAATGCTATCAAAATAATATGTTCATGTAGGTAATAAACTTAGTTTTTGAACCACTTATTTTTACAACATAGCAGTGATTTATTAATTCTTGAATAATACTTATTATTTTACTAATTTTACTTGTTAATCTGACATAGTCTATTACAAATCGGAGGGTTTAAAAATTGATGTATTTTATAAGTTTTCATTTGTAAATTAACAATTAAATGTTATCAAAATAACATGTTCACATAGGTAATAAATTTAATTTCCATGAAACTTGTTTGTTAATTACTCCTTCCAAACTATAATATAAGTCATTATTAATTAATTTATATTTTTTTAAAATAATTTGATTAACATCTTCATTTTCTAAAAATTTTCACATCTTTTCAATTGTGCCCTTGAGAGTAATAAATAGAACATTTGATTTATTCAAAACACTTTCATTTATTATTCAATAAAGTAAGGGTATAATAAAAAAAATTTGTAACACCTACCCAATATTTTATATTTTGGACTAAATAAAGTTTCTAGAATACAACTTGTATTGGATCCAGATAGAGTATGATATAATGGTGATTTGTTAATTCCTAAATAGTACTTGTTATATTAATAATGTTACTTATTAATCTGACATAGTCTATTAAAAATTGTGAGATTTAAAAATTCATGTATTCAATTTACAAATAAGAACTTGTAAAATACATTAATTTTTAAACCTCACAATTTTTAATAGACTATGATAGATTAACAAGTATTATTTAAATAATAAGTAACATTTAGGAATTGACAAATTACCATGTTGCGCCCATATCGTGTGCTCCCAAGAAAAAGAAATCAATAAATGCAGGTGTCATCACCAAAATTTTAATAGGATAATTTTAAAAACTTTTTCAAAAAAAAATGATTTACAATAACCAGAATATGGTTCGGAAGTTGATTGTATATGAAAAATGTGTTAGGCACCCTACATCACCCCTCTAAGTTGACTAAACAAAATTAATATGGCGTTAAATGAAATTTAATTACCTTAATTAATAAAAAAGGAAATAAGAAGAAAAATATAATAAAAAATATTATTTACTTATAAGTTGGACTTGACTTAGGATAAAATTTTAACATCTACATACCATTTAGAGTGATCAAAACTCATATAGGGCGAAGGTAAAAATGCATGTTACTTTGTTGGTAACTTTTAGAAGAAAGATAATTTTTAAATTTTTTTAAAAGTTTTTTTATTAGATTTGTATCTTTTAATTTATAAAAAAGACTCATTCCCTTATTTGAGAAAGGATGTTTTGGAGGGAAAAAAATTAGATTAAAATTCCTGTGGAGATTCCAAAAATCTCATATAAAAATTAATTTATTTTATACTTGTGAAAATCCCAAAATCTCACACGTCATAGGAAGTATTTTTCAATCTAGTCATTTATAATCAAACAAAAAACTCTTCTTAAAAAAAGATTTTTAAACAAATCAATTAAGCATCAACAATTGGTGTGCCTGTAATAATCTATTGCCACATAAGGCATGTCAATTGAGTAGTTACCTATAAAGACTCCAAAAATCTCACATGGTATGGCAATAAGACTTTAGGGCTTTACCACTCTTGCAATGATCTTGAGAAATATTCCAATCTTTATCCCATAGGCAACGAACTAAAGAAGTGAATAATCAAAACATGTGCTTGGGTGTGTGTGTGTGCATGTTAAAAAAAAAATCATATGGGCTTCCCATTCTTTTGCTCTGTATTAATGAAGGGATGCACTTGGTATGAAAATTGATTCAAACCCTTTTGGTTGAATCTGATTGTGAGCGGAAATGAAATAAAGAAGAAAGGAAAAAAAAAAAGTAAAGGAAGCAGAAATGATGGAGGTGAATATTGAATTAAAGCACCAAAGGGAAGGGGACACAAGGCACGCACGCAAATATATATACACATACTGAGAGAGGCATATGCGCATGGTACACTAATATAATGAATCAACACAAGATCTTTCAAAAAGGAAAAAGAGAATAAGAATAAGAAAAATAAAAGAATCATCTAAATCATTATTGATTATATACCCTTCAACCTTTGACACTTTCAAAGATCGCATATGTGGTCATAAGTATGATAGCCTTGACTTTCCTTAGGGTATAATGATAAACAAATGAATAGGAAAAAAAGAAGAAGTAAATGATATTATCCTATTTAGAACATCTCTACTCATTCCTAATCTCATATTATCATGAGTGAAGACGATATAAGAGAACAAACATTCTCTACTTTTTTAATAAACTCTCTCAAGCTCCTTTATTTGTTGTCTCTTTTTTTTTCTCCTCCTCTCCATCTTGCCTTGATCCCCACCCTTTTATAGATGAAAATTAGGGCTTCCTACTTTAATGATTGAATCCCATCAAATCACAATTTGTAATTAATTTTATTTGACTTTCACCATTTTAAATCAAGGCCAAATTTTGAGGATTGGATTTCCTTTTGACTTTTCCCTAATTGAAGACTCATATTAAGGCACAAATTTAAAAATTATTCATTTAATTTCGTTTTTTATTATTTTACTAAAAAAAAGGCTCTTCAATTTTTTTTATTTTATTCCTTTATTTTTTGTGGGGGCTTGGACAAAATAGGGTGTTCACATACTGTTATGTTATAACAAACAAGTTGTTTGGAAATTAAATATGAACATGTTATTTTGATTACACTTAAATGTCAATTTACAATTGAGAACTTATGAAATACATGAATTTTTAAACTCTCAACTTTTAATAGACTATGTTAGATTAACAACTAACATTAGTAAAATGATAAGTGATATTCAAGAATTAATAAGTCACTATTATGTTATAAAAAACAACTGGTTTTGAAACAAAATTTGAAACTAAATTTATTACAAATATGATCGTGTTATTATAATTGCATTTAATTGTCAACTTACAATTGAGAACTTGTAAAAAAAACATGAATTTTTAAATCCCCAATTTTTAATAGACCATGATAGATTAACAAATAATATTGTTATATTATAACTTGAAAATGGTTGAAAAGCATGGATGTCTATATATATTTCCTTCTCTCTCTTTTTTGGCCTAATATAATTTAATTAGTTTGGTAGCTTAGTGGCCAAAAGCTTTTCAAGTGGCTATAAGTCATGGGTTTAAACCCTCCATTGGCCACCTTTACTAATTATCAATTTAAATTAGTTGCCAGAGCTCTAGTAATCAGCTGCTGGCAACTTCATTATTCACAAAATCTCCAGTAGTCATGGGGGGTTTTCTTTTTAAAAAAAAAATAATAATAAAGAAGGGTAAGATCTTGTTCGGTAAGATCATATTGTACTAGTTTTTTTTTTTTTTAAAAAAAAAAAAGAAGTTGAATAGGGTCATCCATTTATTGGCTCGCCCACAGGACTGATGGATTGAGACAATTGGGCAAACCGTGGAGCTAAGTGAGCATGCTTTGAACCTAACCATGGAGGTCAGTGGAGCTGCAGTGAGCAGGGTCAGAAGCAAGATGAGAAATCCCATCTTCCTGAGAAGTGGTCACAATCATCTCAAGCTGCTTCAGCTTTTAGGTCACATCTGCCCTGTTCGATGATCGCAACTTGTAGCCCAAAGCTGCCATCAACTCATCCATCTCACTGAGGCATCAAGTTCTTCCTCCAATATCTTCATCTTCCCACTTGACATTGACCAGCATTCAACTTTCAAACCACCACCATCATCATTGTTATATAGGCCAAGGACGAGCTTCATGTTGTTTTTGTTGGGTGGAAAATGATTAGTTGGAGAGATGAGGCAGAGAGATGAATTGGAGTTATGAATGCCATGTTGGTACATTTCCAGTCAAAACATTTCTATCAACAGTTAAAGTTAACATCTGTTTGCATTTGAATCAAATAGCAAAGTTTTGGAATGTTTAAAATCAACATTGCACACATTATAGTATAAAATATCCAAATTTCTCTTAAAATAGTTCAAGGGCAAAATATTGTATGCTCTCATGATACCCAAGTCTAATATGGTCAAAGTTTTCGATTCCATGCTAATCTCAACTTCGACTTACTTAATAACATTGAATGTCTCGTATGGAGAAAAAGCCTTGTCACACGTATAGAGAAAAATCCTAATGACTTGTCAATTTTCAAGCAAAAATATTCAACTGCTGTGGAAATCAGTCCTGGTTTGTATTTCTATCGCCCATCAAGATCTAAATTTCAAGCTTGTTTCTCGTGTATAAAATTTACACCACAGCATTTTTTTTTATTTTTGGGGAAAAACATTACAAAAACAAATATAACCTACACTGTAAATGATATACGATAAAAAAAGCATTTAATCTAATTGCATACAACATCAGAGTAAAAAGCGATGGTCCTCCTTTCACAGTTTTGTATACTTAGTAATTCAACGTCAAAAACCTCGAACTGTTTTGAGCTGAAAAACGTTGATGGACCTACCTGCACAAGACAAATAGGAGATTTCAAATTTCATTTAAATAAAATATATGGAGAGCACAATGACATCATACAATCTATGTAACTGAACCTGCCTAATAGAATAAAGCTTCTCCTTGTTGTTGTTGTTGTTGTTGGATTTAAATAAAACATTTTGTCGTGTGTTATAACTTCTCCTATTCTGTGCTACTAGAATAGACATTACTGAGTTATGATTATGAGGATATAATAAACATTATTAAGAAAGTGAGGAAACTAGGGTCCTATTTCATAAGACAAATTAAACGGGACCAAGTGTAATCATTCCATTGAAAAATTATTGGCATTTTCATTTAGAGCTGTAGAAGATCAAAATTTCACCCAGGCAAAAAGGAACTAGATCTTGGGTAACCACATTTCATAACATGGCCTAGACCCTGTTCTCTTGTCTTCACATGGATTGTGGTTCCTTAAGATATTCTAATTCTCAGATCACATGGATTGTGGATCCTTAGGATATTCTAATTTTAGTGCTGCATTTGATCATTATTGAAATGGGAATCTAGAATGTTCCTAGCAACTGTGGTATAAAGCATTTTTCTACTGCAGTATATTTGCTTATACCGGAAGGAAGATATTTATCACTCATGCCAAGCTTGAGTAATAACGGTCAAATGTTTAAACCCTCTTGATGTAACAAAACAAAAATCTAAGTCCTCCACCTTGAGTTCATGTTTTCTATAGGAGATCCCAAAAGATTTTTTTAGAGAGAGAGAGAGGAGAAGAAGAAGAAGAAAAATAAAGAAAAAGAAAAATCTCTTTTGTTCCTGTTCTGTTCTCTCTTCCAGCTGTATCCATCACAAATTTCTTAGTAATTATTGGACAATCATACTCTAACTCTTAGTTTGGATGGGAAAAAAATAGGAAGGTGGGAAAACTAGAAAAGAAAACCCTCAAAAATAGTTAAAAAAAAATTACTACTTTTGTAAATTTTTTCTCCTAGTTTTTTCTCTTTCCTATTTTCTTTCCACTTTGCCTTTCATCTAAACTAAACCAAAGAACGGTTATCACCCAACAAATTGCAGTAAGTTAAAAAAAAAAAAAAAATTGGAGATAGAAGAAAATGAGAAATGTCAAAGCTAACCGGTGGTCCAAGCTCAGGGGGAATAATGATTCTTCTCTTCCCACCTGGTCTCATATCTCTGATTCCTTCCTCAAATCCTGCATTAATAATAGTCAGTGTATCCCTCCATCATTTTCACATTTTTTTCATCTTTTTTTTTTTCTCTCTTTTTGATAAGACAAAAAATTGGGTAAAGGATAGACCTTGTAGTTTAAACCGTTAAATCAGTGAATTCTATTCTCTTGTTGATGGAAGCCTATCTTTCCCTAATTCCTAATTTTTCTTACACAAATAGTCGTCTGTGCATCAAAAATAAGAATTCAACTTGAATTGCAAAGTTGATGCACAACACAGCATCCCCCAAATTTTGCCTCCAAATAAAATCCCTGATTTTATCTCCAATTTTGCCCTAAATTCCTTATTGCCGTTACAGTGAAGACTAAAACTCCTTCAAGACAAATTGAAATCCTGAATATGACTCATACAACACATTTTTCCTAAATTTTGCCCAAATTCTCAACCTCCCTGTAAAATCTCTAATTCTTTATGCAATGAAAACCAAAATCACTTCATTGGCTAATTGAAATTTCTAATTTCATAGAAAACTGGGAAAAAGGAAAATTTGAGTGATTTGCACTGCAAAGTAGTAAAATGCTAGGGAAGAAATAGCCAAGGGTGCTAATGTACTAAGGGTTTAAATCATATGATACCAGAATGTAAAATTCCAAACCACAAGACACAAGAGCGCAATTTACCACAAATGATGAGCATGATCTATTAAAAGAAAAATGATAAACTTCAGACCTGGAACTAAGGCTTTTGTACCCAAACGGATTCTGGCTGGAGAATTCTGTAAGTAAGTGCTGTCAATTCGACGGCCAGATTCATTATAGCCAATGTAGTGAAAAGTGACCTGCAAAGATGGTAAACTGCATAAGGCAGCTCAAGATGAAAAATTAAAAATATATTTGTTATGTTAGATACAATAACATTTAGTAGTATCCTCTCTGCAAAGAACGATCTGCACTGTATTTAGTCACATTATTGAATATAAAATGTTCATTCTCAAGTTGCGCAGATGAAATTGGTACTGGACATCAATTCAAATAATATTGAAAGAAAAACCTGCTGACCATCCTTTGGGCAATCACCATTCCCAAGTTCATAATCTCGGTATATAAGCCCTGAGTCACGCTTTACATAGCTATCAGATGTTACTACCTTAACTTCAAAACCTGAACATACATCAATAAACCAATGTCAACTAACTTTTCAGATATTTATTATAAACAAATTTCAGACAAAGCTCCAGAGCTTGCACTGTGTTAGCCCAGATAAATATTTCACACTGAATCTCAATAGATTGACACAAAAATTTGATAGGTCACAGAACGATAAAGCATTCCCTTAACATAGTGACAAAAGAATGGAATGCATGAGATTATATACTTACAGATATATCATAATCATACCAGTAGACTTTAAAGAGATGGGATTACTAGAACTGATACCTTCTCTAACAAAATTTGGGAAGTCTTCAGGTGCATTATTTTCTTTCTGTACCCGCTTATTTTGTTCCAGCAAGCGTTTTTCATCAAATGGGTTCTTACTCTTTGTCTTCCCGTAAGAAGATAAACTTGGAAAAACACTAGTTGAGACCAAAACAGAAAGTATGAATTTCCGCCTCAATGTTTCGGTGGAATGTAATATGCCACTACCCTGCACTCTATCCATACATATATTATTAATCACAAGAAACATAAGAAGCTAATTCGTTCTTTCAAGAAATTTCACAAGAAAGCTGTCAGTCAACTGGCAAGACTCTTACGGATAATCTTTGGAAATCTGATTTGTACAGCCATGAGTTAGTCGTTTCCTTTGAGAAAAGAGAGTTCTCTGTGTGGAACAAGAGAAGATTGCTGCAGGAAAATTAAAAGCCATACTTAAGAAGTTCCCAAAGGGAATCTCATTCTTTAATCTGTCAGCTCCAACTAATTCAAGGCATCTAGCTAATTCATAAAACGTTTCCTCCTAAAGTTGAAAGCTGAGAAGCGAAACTCATATTATCCGAACAGAAAGATGCGTTGTCTAAATTTAACACATTGCTAAAAAATACACTGCCAATTTCTTAGACCAAAATTTGCAGGAAAACCCTTAAATCATGGCATTCTGTTAGAGCATTGATAGCTAAACATGGTGAAATGTGACAAAACGGAGCAACAAGTGGCTCGACATTGATAGAAAATTTCGATTTCCCAGGAACAAAAATGAAACAACAAGTGAAATTGAGGTTCTTTGAGGTGAAATGAGAGAGAGAAAGAGAGACATACAGGGGAAAGAGGGCTTCAGAAGGAGAGAGCTTGCCGACGATACCATAAGCATGGCTGCCGTGGAGCCTTAAACCCGTTTCCAGTTGCTGCTTTATGTTATCCTGAATCGGCATGCTGGCAAAACTGGAAAATTTCTTTTATTTCCTTAATTCCCAACAAAAAGGAAAAATTAAAGAGGAGAATCACATTTTAAATTTCATTAAATCTAATTAATGATATTTAGGCCATGAATTTTTTTAAAAAAAATTATTACACATTAATTTAAACTTTTAAAAATAGCAATTGTATTTAGAAAATGAGTTACATTTTAAAGGGTTATGAGTAATTTTTTATTTTTACCTTTAAAATATTCATTTAAAGTTTGAAATTATTCTAAACTCAATTTTAAATTATTTTTTCTTCTATACAGTTAAAAATTTATCGGAGAATTACAACTAGGTCTCATTTTAATTATCAATACAATTTAATTTAATTATTAATGAATTTTATAATAATTAATTTTTTTATATAAAATTTAGTTGTAATTCTCCCAAAATTCATATGTTTTTGTCTTCCCATTGACGCACCGATTAACTTTTTTTCTAACAAATTATATACACACGGTATCACGTTGGATGCCTGATGAAGTAAAAGTCACTTTACTTTTGAGTAGAAAAATCTTGCATGCTTTATTTGATATTGAGTCATTTTTCTTTTTAAACGTTAAAACACCTAATCATATGTGTCTTGCCATTAACACACCAAAAACAAATATTGATTTAAGTTAATGGAGCCTATGTCTGTGTACATGTGATATTTAGGTGGATGCCCAATCATAAATTTTTAAAAAAAATTCCTTAGATTACAATCAAAAATTAAATAAAAAAAATTCATCCATATATACACTTGGCAACGTGACTTAGATTTAAAAAAATATATATCTATATGTACATTTGACAAGTCCCAACAATTAAAGCTTTTGGTTATTACAAGAGAAGGCATATATTTTGTCTGCATTTGAATTAGGATTTGTAATTGAAACCATACGAAGAAAGCAAGAAGTTGAAATTGAGAGAATGAGAGTAATTATTTTTTAAAAAAAAATCTAATTCGTGCTGTCAAGGATACATGGAAATTTTTTTTAATTTAATTTCTGATTATAATTTAAAGGATTTTTTTTTTTTTTGGGGAAGAAAAAACCTGGCATCCACTGGAATGCCCCACGCTAGGGCTGCACAAAAGACTGGACGGCACTGGACTTCATCCTAACCCGAAGTCCGGTCTCTTTCATGAAAAAGACTGGGTTAGGCAACCCGTAATCCAGTCTTGTCCAGTAATAACCCGAAGATTAACAGGACCGAACTTGGTCCATAGGACTGGGAGACTGGTCCTGTCAGTCCAGTACTCACTTAGCTTTTTTTCCCTCTTTTTATTCTATGAGAGGCAATAATCCATTCCAACATAATAAACTCAATTAAGATAGTAAAAATACTTATAATAATAATAAATCCATAATAATTTCTAACAATAAGAAAAAAAATATTTTTGTTATAGTCTAAATTATTTAAATTTATAAACTTTAATAAAAACAGTACTCAAAAAATTCAACAACACTATATTACAATAACAATTTAGAAACAAACTTAATAAATCTTTATGCAATCATCTCCTTAGCATCAATTACACTTTAAACATTTGTCAAAAATAAATTAATTATAATTATAATAAAAAAAATTAATAGGACTGGACTGGATCAAGTGGTCCGGATGCCTGGTCTCTTGTCCAGTCCAACCCGAAAAAATAGTCTGGTCTTTTTAGTCCTTTTGGTCCTGAAGGACCAGTGACTATACAGACCGAACAAGACTGAGACCATCTCGGGTTGGACTGGACCAGACAGGACTGGGAGACTTTTGCACAGCCCTACCCCACGCACACGGACGTAAACATACGCCTGGGATCCACTTGAACGCACCTATTGGGTCCAGTTCCCACCTCCTCTTGAGTCACGGCTAAAATTTAGCCCATAACAGTAGGCTTTTAAATATTAAAACATTATGGTGCATACTGCACTACAGACAAATATTTAAATAAGTTAGATACGTCACATTATTTATAATTTATTTAATTAAAATATTTTAAATAATTTAAATAAAATCTTGTATGATATTTTTTTTAATTAATTTTATTCTTATAGTAAAATATATATTTAATTTTTTATTTTTTTCTCTTTAATATCATTAATATCAGAATTAGTTTATATTTTATATTACATTTATCTTAAATTATAAGGCACTTTTAAAAAATTTCTTTCCAAAATATGAGACATTTTAGGTAGATTAAGCTTTCATTAAATGCAACAATTTTAATATTATCCTTTCTTTCTCTATAATTAATTTTCATCTTTTCTCTTTTCAATATATTAAATTATGAGTATTTTTAGAAGTTTATATTTTTATTTTGAAAAGATAAAATTTTTAAGTGTATTTAATGAGGTATATTGATAGATGAAATTTTATTTAAAGGTGTTTTATAATTTAAGATAGAGAGAATATCAACTAAATATTATATTTTTATTTTTTATTGCATAGATCATAAATGATGCATCATGAGAGGAATAAATCTAGTTTCGGCGTAAAATACCAGAAAAGAAATACACACACATGTATTTGAAATAACAGATAAGAAAATGACACGAACAAGTAAATATATGGGCAGAAGCCCTTTTTCTTTTGCCTTTGTTTCATTTTCACTCTTTTTTAAGTTTACATATTTTATACCTTTTTTAGTAAACATATTTTATACCTACATGCTCCGATTCATTCTTTAAATGTAATGCAGCATCCAAGCCATGTTTAATTTTGCATTCAAACCCTTAAAAAAGAACGATATGCTTTATCACAAATCAAAATCATCATCTTTGTTTTGATAAAAAGAAAATATGCGTAGCTTCTGACACAGGCAATTCCAAATATGCTTATCTTCTTAGCGAGGGACAAACCCATTTGAAGTTCCATGGTTTCTTCTCTTAATCCTGCAAAATAAAATAAACTAAAGCACCATTATTAAACATTAAATATAGATGTCTATGGAAATACAAATAATGAGAAAATGCATTAAAATTTAACAGTGCTTGTGAGCATCAATGTTGTGCACTACTTACACTTCATGTAATCAGCACATCTTATGTTTACAAGCATCTCCACCTTCCTTCTTTGGTGGGAATGCAAGCCTACATATCAAAGCATCTCTGCAAAGTAACCAATTTTTAACCTATAATTAAACCTTACAATATCTAAATTTAGATTAATTGATAATACCAATACCATTTCATAGTATAATATATATACTCTCTAGTCCTTATTATAAAAATCTTTTAAAAGAGATCAATGATCTTCATTATAAGTCACTTAATGTGGTATTATTTAAATTTTTATAATATTATTTTTATTTAAAGTCATTAATCATATGAGAGAATGAAATACAAATTTAAATTTTTTTATTTATATACGAGTAAAATAATAAAAATTGATGTAAATAAAGTTAATAATTTACCTTAATTTCAATGAGATATTTAAAAATGTCTTGTAATCAATACCAAAGAGGGTATAATATATCAAACTCCTCCCAAAAATACATCATAGTTAGATGTGAGCCAATGTATTGTACAAAATCTTATAAATGAATTGTAATGTTCATGATTTGTTAATAGTAAGACTATAAATTTTATATTTATATTAATATTTTAAATATAGTAATTGGTCTTACTCCTTCTACAAGTATTGTCTATATACCAAGGTACTAAAAACTGGTTCAGATATCAAATTGATGTAGGCATTGGTCCAAAAATTAATTAACTGTAATCAAAATGATTATAAATAAAATATTTTATTAAAATGATCAAAAGATTAGCCTAATAATTTTTTGATTCAACCTAGTGGGTTGAGCCAAATTTCAATACTATGCTACATACTGCCATCTTGTGGTAGCCAATTGGCAATTTGAGTCTATTGGCTTGCATAGTGTGCTTCTGCCTTAATAAGGTGATTAGAATAACATAACTGACTTTATTATAATATAAAAATCTGAGTCAACTCACCCATTTAAACTAGCAAATTGATAAATTATTGTCTTAACTGTTTTAATAAAATATTTTGTTTATGACCGATTTGATTACATTTGACTCATGATATTATCATTAACTCTTGGACCATTAAATTAACTAATTCAATAACCAGTTGGACTTTTAGTACCGTGGACTCTATATATGGTCAGAATAAATCTTGTTTTGCAGGTACACGTGTCAACCAGAAAGAGGAGAATAAAAATAACAAGACCACAACTAGAAAGGCAGAACAGAACTATGTCTAGACTCGAGTAGAATCTTTGATAGTTAAAACAGTTCAAAGACTTGATCCATGATCTACATGATTGAAATCAAATGTCACGTTTCCAGAATCAATGTAAACACAACTTTTTTATACCGTTACAAGGTGCAGAAGAAAAAATGTGAATAGAAAACAAATAACAGAAAGAAGCTGCACCACTGAAAGCAATGTTAAAACGGAGAAAGCTCCATGAAAACAGTATATTAGATGATCTCTTGAGAAACTCCGCAGTTATCTTGTTAGAAACCACAGGAAATTGAAACTGCAGATGTTTCATGTATCACCTAATACTCTTTTCATTGTACTTGGCCCTCTTGATCTGTCCATTGATGCTTGTTTCTGAAGTCTAATCTGTGCTTTAAACTTTGCAATGAACTCACTAGCTTTCTTATCAACCTCAGAATCCAATCCTGAATCGTTGACACATTCAGACACCCTATCTTCGTGTGAGCTCATCTTCAAGCTTTCAGGCTCAATAAACAAGTCTTCTTTTTCCACATTCTTTGATAGTTCTTCCTTATCCCTTTTAGGATAACAGGAAAATGATCCTTCAGGCTTAGGACAGGGAAGATCAGTGTTTTGTTTATTGCTGCCTTTCGAAGGACGATCAGGTCCTCCTTTTCTCAATTTTTCTCTTCTAATCAACACAGATTCAACATTATCAGGCTTCTTTTCCACCCTCTCATCAGTTTGCTTACTGTGCACATCTCTTGTTCTCATCATTGTCTCAGAAGTCAATCCACTGGTTCTCCTAGTTCTAACTGATTTTCCCTTTGTAGGAGCTTTGGCTAAACTTCTATTCTTTTCAGTGTCTGATTGCAAATGCAATCCTGCCACTTTGTTGCGAGATTGATCCTCACTTCCATTCCCATTCAAATCAATCCATTCATCTTTCAGGCCACTTTTCGAGCCATCCTCGAGCAGGGAACCAACACTATATGCACGGGAATGAAATGCGTTTGATGAAGCTTCTTCAGTCCTTTTTCTAGCTGGTGGTGATGGTGAACTTGAAGGACCATGAGAACTCTTATTTTCCCCTGCATCTTCCTTGGGCAGGTTCAAGTTTTCTGATGGGACAGAGTCCAAGGAAGACAATAATAAACTTGTTCGTGATGACAAAGACCCTGTAGACTTGAAAGACTGCGAACCAAGTGACTCAAATTGAGTTTCATCAACTGACATTGGCCTAAAATGTGAAGGACGAGAAACAGTAGCATATTTTTCCCTGGTTGCCATCTTTCTGATTCTCGGGGAAGACCCACGGGAAGCCAAATTTTCTCCTGAATCTTCCTCTTGGAAGTTCATTTTTTCAGAAGACGATCCATCAGAAGTCTTCTTTTGTCCCATCTCTTCTGATTCTAAGTTCATGTTATCTGATAAAATAGAATCTGAAGAATATGTGCTTCTGTGTGATGAGAGAGATGATCTACTCTGAAAAACCTGTGAGTTGAACGACTCTGATTTGGTTTCAGCAGCTGAAAGAGGCCTAAAATGTGAAGGATGGGCAATGCTACCATGATTTTCTTCACTTTCCATTTTTTCAGACGTCAAATGCCATGGAACTGGAGAAGCCGCTCCAGGAGCATCATTAAATATTCTGTGATTTTCTTCAAATATCCTGTGATTTTCTTCACTTTCTATTGCCTCAGACCTTGTTTGCCAGGAGATTGGAGAAGCAGATTCAGCAAACTCTCCATGATTTTCTTCAATTTCCATCCCTCTAAAGCTATCTTGCCATTGAATAGAAGAGGATCCAATAACATCATTAAACTTGTCCCAATTTCCTTCACTTTCCATCCATCTAGACATTGCTTGCCAGGGAATTGGAGAAGCAGATCCAGCAACATGATTAATCTCTCCATCATTCTCTTCAACTTCCACCCCTTTAGACTCTTCTTGCCATGGAATAGAAGAAGCTGATGCAGCAACGTCACTAAACTTGCCAAAACTTTCTTCATTTTTCATCCTTCCAGACCATGAATGCCATGGAATGGGAGAAGCAGATCCAGCAACATTACTAAACTCTCCATGATTCTCTTCAATTTCCACCCCTTCTGCTGACCTTTCTTGCCATGGAATGGAAGAAGCTAATGCAGTAGCGTCACTGAATATTCCATGATTTTCTTCATTTTTCATCTTTTTAGAACTTGAACGCCATGGAATGGGAGAAGCAGATCCAACAGCATCATTAAGCTTTTGGTCAATATCGTAAGGACCCAGATCCCCAAATTTCCTATCTCTACTCTTAACTGAACGCCTAGATGAACCCCTTGAACCAGAACTTGAATCACTTTCATTGGTACGAACAGGACTGTCTAAATCTCCAGCAGTAGATCTTAGACTCCTAACTGGTAATCCTAATGGTTTATAACCTACAATCTCATCACATTCACCAATCGTGTAGTATGGATGAGTCACAACAACCATTGGCTGTCTGTGATAGTACTCAGAATTCCAAGCTTGAACCACATTGGTTTCATCATATCTACCATCAGAGAAGTTATCTTCTGGAGGAGGCGATTGGGGTTTGTATTGTTCATCCATTACCGCAAGAGCATTATTTTCATAGTACTGCGAATAATTCCAATTACAATGCATCATCATCCTATTCTCATCATACCCACATGGATTTTCACCCTCGTCGCTAAGAACAGATGAAACGGGAAACATTGTGGAGACATAACAAGATGTATTGTCAACAATGGATTGAGTTTCTATTTCCATGTCAGGCTCAACATTTCTTCTACTGAATAACCCATAAGCTACAGCAATGCCAATGAAGAGAAGGTGAAGAAGCTCCCATAACTGGGTGAGTATAGTTTCGTTCACAAAGTCAGGAGCTTGTGAAGGGAAAAGTGGAAGAACAACTACAAATAGGGCAAAGAGAAGAGATTTGAAGAGGAAGCCCGAGTAAGACTTACCTTTGTTGATATTGGGTTTCGGTCGGATCGGCGCGTTCGCCTGAGATAATGTGAAATGGGGTTTGGTGTAAGGGCTCGAATCCGCCATTGCTGAAGAGAGATAAACAGAGTGAGCTTCTCGGGGGCGGATGGAATGGCAACGAACGAAGGAAGGAAGACTTTGAAGCGAAGGAAAAGTGCACAGTAAGAATTAAGAAACAGGCAACAAAGAAAAAGACACCACATGGGGCGTAACAAGTATTCAGAAGCGTAATTATTAGGACGGTATAACGTAATGACGTTCTAGACCCTGTCATTATCTGGATTTACAATTTTACAGAAAACGGAACCCTTTAAGTTACTTTACTCATCAATTTGATCTTTCAGACTTTAAACTTTATTGAGTTAGTTCTTTATATTTTTTAAATTATCATGTAAATTTTTGAAGTTTAAAAATATAAATTTACTCTCAAAATAATTTAATATATAAAATATATTAATGATTTGATATGTTTATTTAGCTAAATGTAACCTTTAAATTAGTTTAATTTCCATTCATATAATCCATTACACTATGTTACTATGTTCTATGCTTTTTTAAAATTTGGAAAATATATCTTCAAGTCATTACAATTTTATAATTTATTTTATTTTAACTAAATCTTTATAATTTAATTTATTATAAATGCTAACTCCCGAATGCTAAATTTAATATTAAATTTTATATATAAAAATATTCTTGGAGTTTACAAAAAAATTTAATTTAATACTTTTAACCATAATTAAAAAAATAAAATTTGATTTAATATACTATTTACATTTTTAAACCCTAAACTTTAAAATTAATAATGAGTTATCAAATTTTACAAAACAGAAATATTCTTGAAGTTTATATAAAAATTTAATTTAATACTTTTAACCAAAATTCAAAAAAGGAAAATTTGATCTTGTATACTGTTTACATTTTTATTAATTATCTTTATAAAAATTCTATATGTATAAAAAAATCTTTAGAAGAGAATTTAATTATATAAATTTTGAGTTATAAAAATTATGTAATTAATTTTAAAGTTATATAATCATTTAATAAAAATATAAAAGTTCTTAATTTTTTTCTTAAAGAAAAAATTTAAGGATTTTAACAGTTAGGGATTAGAAAATTTAATTAATCAAACTATAAAGGTTCAATTAAAATAAAATATATTGTAGAGACTTGATTTAAAATTGAGTAAAACATTAAAGACCTAGAGATACAATTTTCCTTTAAAATTTTAGAGTTTTTTTACTTAAATAATTATACTTTTTTTTATCAATTTATATGATTGCTATTAATATTTTGTTATCAATGTCACCAAACTTTATTAATGTAACCTATTTTTAAAACAACAAAAACCAAATCAACAAATAAAATAACTTAAGGTACAAATTGATAAAAACTAAATTTAAAGGATCAAATTGATAATTGAAATAAAATTGAGAAACTAAAATTTTTATTATCCCATTATTTTATTTTATTTTAGGCTAAAATATACAAAAAAACTTATAAAATTTAAGACAATTACATATAATCTTCACATTTAAAAGTATAAAATTAATATTCCTAACCTTTTATTTTTTAACCTATCATTATTTTTTAATTATTTTATTAACAAAAGTTATTATATCATATTAAAAATAGACACGTAATAGCTTATGTTATGTAACATTCTTTAATAATATCTTTTTAAGAAGTTTATCCATATTTTTTCTATTATCAATTGTATAGATTTTTGTAAATTTTTAATATGTACTATTCTTTCTTATAACACCCTGAAATTTACAAATCGATTTTTTACAAATTATTAATTTAACAAATTATTTTTTTTCATTGAACCCTTATCATACCCTTATCATGGTAGAAAAATTTCTACCATGATACATCCAAGACAATATATCACAAGTTTTAAAATATCTCAAAAAATAATTAGAACCATGAGGGACAGACAAGATCCTCATGGCATGATATTTAAATCAGGTCATGAATCAAGAGGGACAAATATAATACTCTTGGTCATATAAATGCATTTAATAAAAAGGATTAGAGTTTATATGTTGTCAAAATAAGAAATGTCCTAGGTTAGCACAAGATACATTGCATAATACAAAATGAGAGGCAACGTAAAAAATAGTGTCTCATATACCAAAGTTACGCCTTTGGTGCTTTCTCGGCCGGACTCGCTCCTGTAAAAATGTTAACCACAGGGAATGAGACTTACAAGTCCCAGTAACCAAAAATTAATATGTAATGATGCATGCGGATGTAACTAATCATGCGATTGCTAAGTGGGCACACAAAAACATTTAATCGAATAATATTTCCAAATAAACCGAACAAGTATTTAATTGAATGACTGCACCTTATATCCTCCTTTCGCCATGCTCGGATGCCAAATCATTCGGTCAAAGGTGAGTTGGACCAAGCGACACGCCACTCATTGGGTCCAATGAGGGCTTACCACGTGGTAATAATTAACCGAACAGAAATTCCTATTAACACCATACATTAAAATACCCTGACAAGTCATGTATCATTCAAATATCCAAACAGAAATATATCCGAACAATAATATCTCATCATGATAAATAAAAATAAATTTTTAACCCACTTGGCAATAATTTCAAATAAGTATATACAGTATTTATTTTCAATAATTCATAATTTTTTCAAACAATAAAACAACACATAACCATTCACAAACACACCCATCACAACACATTAATAATGGTTACCTTGTGTCTTGAATGACAAGTTCCCCTTTACAACTCCTTTTTCACCACTATCTTTGTCAATATAATCTACATAATTATTTCACAATACTATATATTAATTTACATTGAAATTAATAAATAACTCTAATTTAAAGAGTTAGAAAGTCTCATATCTAAAATTCATATTGACACTAATTTAAGTTTTATGCCTCATTTAATTTTCCAAATTCTTTTCTAAAATTCTCGTACCCTAATAAACTATTTTTAAGCCTCAACTCACTTCTAGTATCATAATTTCATCCATCTATATTCTAAAAGTTCGTTCAAAAATACATTAAAAATTTTAAAATTATCCTGAGGCCTCAAATCACCTTTCTATAACTTCAAAAATACCTATTCATACTTAAAAACTATTAATAATTAGAGGTTCATCCCTACATCTCAGATTCAACATAAATTCAACAATATAGATCTAGATTTTAACTTAAAAATTCTTAAACATGAGTTTCAACCTCAAGAAAATATTCTATAATATTATTACATCCCTAAGAGCTTTAATGTATATTTTTAATCCATCATATCATTAGATTAACTATTCTATAGAAAAATCCTAATCAGAATATTTACTCTATCCTACAAAATAATCATATCACTAGAAATCTAATATTATTTAGAAAATAACTATAAAATTAATTTTGTACTTAAATAAATTTTTAAATGCTAATTTAAACAGGAAAGTTGGAGCATACCTAAAGAAAAAGAAAATAATCCCCCCTTACGAGAAGACGCCGAGCAACGTGAGAGAAAGAGAGAAAAATAATATAAAAATAGGATTTTAGGTCCCACAATTATATTAAAAAAAACTATAGGTCTGAATTTAATTATTCAAACCTTTGGGCCATTACTTGCAATTTCACAAATTGCACCTTGGGCCATTAGTTGCAAGTTTCACAAATTGCAAAAACATTTTTTTTTTGCTTCCTTCTACGTCTCCTCGCCTGTGCCTCCTCATTTTATATGTGAGGAGGCACATCACCTTCCCACATCTAATCGATGTGGGACTTCTACAATGCCCCCTTTTTTTTACTTTCTTTTCTTTCTTTCTTTTTTTTAACTCACACACACACATAATTTTTTTTATTTTAAATCTTAAAATTATATCTTAACAAAATATTTCTTATATAATTTTAAACCTAAGTTTTTAATTCATAATTAAATTTCTAACCATATTATTATTTCTGAATAATCTCAAATAATATAAATTTCTATTATTAACTTAAATTCCATAAAAAAATTTTTTATATAAAATTAGGATGTTACAATTCTCCCCTCCTTTTAGAAATTTTGTCCTCAAAATTTAATATTGGTAAACTTAGAAACTATGTACCTAAGTAAATAAATGTGGATAATCTCGCCTTATACTCTCTTCGGTCTCCCAGGTAGCATCACCTAGGGCTCCACCCTTCCAAATCACCTTCACAAGTCGGATGGTCTTATTGCGCAGTTGTTTGTCCTTAAAGTCCTCAATTCGCTCCGGTTCGAATCTAAAGGTCAAATTCTCCCTCAATTCCACTTCTTCAGGTTCAATAACATGGGAGAGATTCGGGTTGTACTTTTTCAACTGTGATACGTGGATCACATTATGGATACCTGCAATCTGTGGAGGTAATGCAATTCTATATGCAGTAGATCCAATTCGCTCCAAGATCTCATACGGGCCCATAAATCTAGGTGTCAACTTCTTTGCCTTAATGGATCTACCATGCCTGTCACCAGAGAAAACCTTCAAAAATACATGATCTCCTACTTCAAACTCTAACGGCCATCTCCTCTTATCGGCATAGCTCTTCTGTCGGCTCTGAGCTGTTAGCAATTTTTGCTTAATCATAGCAATCTTCTGGGTGGTCTGCTCTACAATTTCTGGACCAATGATACTCCTCTCACTTAATTCTGTCCAACACAAAGGCGATCTACACTTCCTTCCATACAAGGCCTCATAAGGCGCCATCCCAATACTAGAATGATAGTTGTTATTATAAGCAAATTCAGCTAATGGCAAATGATTATCCCAACTACCTGGTAGTTCAATGGCACAAGCTCTCAACATGTCCTCCAAAGTCTGGATCATCATCTCTATTTGTCCATCTATTTGGGGGTGGTATGCGGTGCTAAAATTCAGTCTGGTACCCATAGCCTTCTGTAGCGCACCCCAAAAGTTTGAAGTGAACCTTAGATCACGATCTGACACAATTCTAGAGGGTATACCATGAAGTCTAACTATCTCCTTAATGTATATCTCAGCAAATTTTTTTAATGTAGAAGTAAACTTGATCGTCAAAAAGTGAGCTGATTTGGTGAGTCGGTCCACCGATTACCCAAATAGCATCCTTACTCGAGGGTGTTCTTGGTAGTCCAATGATGAAATTCATGGAAATATCATCCCATTTCCAC